TCAGAAAGCATCGAGGTGACTCTGCACTCATTCCCAAAAGCTGATTTGGGGGGCCTGAGGTTCCCTCCCTGAAGGAAGTTCCTGAGAACCTGTGGTAGCTAAGCTGCTTGCTCTTGCCTTGGCTCCATAGGGAAGTGACTTGCCAACAGCCACACAGGGGTTCTCGGGGGCTCTGCGGCCATGCCTCAGTGGCCCTTCTCCCCTCCTAGCCCTTGCTCTCAGCCACAGGGCCTGCTCCAATGCATGCCAACACCGTCGTGCAGATCAGGGAACAATGCCCCCTCAGAGGAGGAGGCCCTGGGTGGGTGCGGGGCAATTTTAGCCTGGAATATTAGTATGAGTCCTTTGGGTCGCTGTGGCCTCACACTCGTGCAGCTTTATAACACAGAAGAGTGATTTCAGGTGGCCGGGGCCCCTGAACAAAAAGGCCTTCCATCTTCCACCGCGGATAAAAGTGAAGGATGGCCTGGGCCAGAAGTGTCTACCTCACGAGGGTGCTATCATTGCCCCAGCTCCCGGGGCCAATCAATGCTTCCCATCCCGGGTTCTGAGCTGGTGCACTCACTGCAGTGGCATATCCTCTGTTTTCATGAGTGGAGAGAAGGTGGCCATTCCAGGGGACTCCAGAGAACATGACATCTGGATGTTCCGTAGCCATTGTCCCCAGCGACTGGCCGATCAAATCAGCAGTGACTTACAAGTACCAGGAGGTCCCCTTTTTCTTCCTCCTCACCCCTCCCACAGAGGCCGCCTGCCAGTCAAAGCTGTTTTCTAACACGGGAATGATCTTTCCCAGGAAAATCAGGATGGCAAACACCAAGGTGGGATGCTCGCCCCCACCCTCTACTGCCCCATCAGAAAGACCTGGGGCAGGGCCCGGTCTGGGGCAGCATCTGCTTCACATTCTCTCCCTTCTGAGTCTACACCACACTTGATTCAATGAACTAGTTTACAGAACACCCTCACGTTTGGCCTATAGGCTGGGGCGGGAGAGGCTAGCGAAGCACTGGAGCCCCCCAGGTGGCAGCCACCAGCCAGTGCAGGACAGGGCACATCGTGGCAGCTTAGTGAGGGTTGGCAGCCTGGCACGGCGAGTAAAGCACAGACCTGCCAGCCAGCCTGCCTGTTTGCGTCTGAGTGCTGCATCCTCCCCCATGTACCAACTTCTCTGGGCCTCAGTCTGCTCTTCTGTAGAATGGCAGAACTGGCTGCACCCAAGTGGGGGGAAAGGAGTTAATATTCATGCAACTCCGAACAGTGCCTGATACAGTGTGCGGGCTATGGAGGCATTAATTAAATCTTAAATACGTGCAGTTTAAAACAGCTACATTCGGTTTGGGTTTTCAGTAATGCTATGGAAACCCTTATAAAATGTTTGCTCCCTTATTCTGCTCTGAAAAGCACAGCACAAAAAATATAGAAGTAACTCACTCTGGAAGCGGAATGTGGCAAGTAATGTTCTGGTTAATTGACAGTCGGCACAGCCCTGATTTTATAAAGGGCATCTTTGTGACAATTCCAATGCCCCCGTTTTAAGGTAGGAGGTATACAATGGAGTGATGTGGTTGGGATTTTAGGAAACACATCAGAACCTAGAAATTCCAAGTAGCTACTTGGGTGGACTGGGGTCCCATTACTCAGACAGAGGGCGCTGGGCAGGAAACCATCTCAGCATCATCTGTCCATCTGTCTCTCTTCTCTCCCCTCTGTAGCTTGTTTGGAGCTTAGAAGGATCTTAATTATCATCTAATAAAACTTTGTAGCCCTAGCCAGTTTGGCTCAGTGGATAGAGCATCAGCCTTTGGACTGAAGGGTCCCAGGTTCAATTCCGATCAAGGGCATGTACCTTGATTGCAGGCTCCTCCCTGCCCCCTGCCCAGGTCCTGGTCAGGGCTTGTGCAGGAGGCAACCAATCGATGTGTTTCTCTCACATCAATGTTTCTCTCTGTCTTTCCCTCTCTCTTCCACTCTCTCTAAAATTGATGGGAAAATATCCTCAGGTGAGGATGAGGAAAAAAAGAACTTTGTAGGTGAGCTAACCAAGGTTGAACAGTTGATTAAAAACCAGTCTCTCCACCACTTAAACTGACCACTAAGAATGTTACCAAACTTATTTACCATTTTGGCTCCAAATGACTGGTTTACCCTAAGAAAAATTTAGTCCGTTTGTTAAAAACAAATATCTACCCCCACCGAGACCAAAGAATGGGAACAAGCTATGAACACATTTACTTGGACTGTCACAGAGTCATCCCCTTGGCATTCTGGCCCACTTGGAGGGAAGACCGAGTTCAAATTCACATCAGAGATTAGGAGAGACTGGCAAAGAATTTCTCTAGCGTGCTTTGCCCTTATGTGAGTAAAGGAAAGTCAGTCATATGCAGGCACCTGACGGTCAGTGGGACAGGGCTGGGAATTAGGGACAGGCAGGCGCACGTGCACACGCACACACATGCGCACATACACACGGCCCGTTAGCAGGAAGCCATTGCGAGTGGACCAGCAGACCCTGGGAGTTAACCAGCACTGGTCTCCGGGGTGGGCATCTCAGTGAGCAGGTGAGCCCTGAGCAGGAGCCAGGTAGCAGGCCAGAGGGAGCCACCCTGACAGGCCTTCAGTTCCCTGATATCACCACAGCCTGGAGGAGAAAGCAGGGTCCAGCTATAGGGCCTGAGGATCAAGTCAGGGCTTATGTCTTGGAAGAACTCCCAAGAGCAGGGTTGGGCTGTCTTGGGAAACCCATGTTGCCAAGGTTACAAAGGAAAGAGGGGGGGGGCAAGGAACTGAGAAAATGACCCATGACTGGCCTTGGAACAAGGCCAGGGCTGCAGCCCACCCCAGGGCAGCACAGGACCCGGGCATGGCTGGCTTGTTGCCGAGTCCCCTGAGCTCCTGATCTGCCTCCTTGGCTTCCCAGCCACGCTGGTGGGTGTGGGTGGGGGCTCAGCTGGGCGCTCAGACAGGTCCAAGTGGGGCCTAGCTGCATTGACAGGAGGGCAGCAGGGGCAGGGGCCAGGTGGGAAGCTGATGTTTTGGTTGAGCAAATCATCCCAGGCTGGAAGCCTTCCCAGTGAGGGGAGAAGCATCTCTATGTGGTCCCAACCTGCCAAGGTACTAGAGCAGTGATGGCGAACCTATGACACGCGTGTCAGAGGTGACACGCGAAGTCATTTTTTTTTGGTTGATTTTTGTTAAAGGGCATTTAAATATATAAAATAGATATCAAAAATATAAACCTTTGTTTTACTATGATTGCAAATATCAAAAAATTTCTATATGTGACACGGCACCAGAGTTAAGTTAGGGTTTTTCAAAATGCTGACACGCCGAGCTCAAAAGGTTCGCCATCACTGTACCAGAGCCTGGAAAACATAGGGAAGATCGCACAGCCTGGCAGACAATGTGTGCCCCAGATCAGGAGTCCCCAGGGGGCTGGCGGCAAAGCAAGTTCATTTCATAGACTTCGCTGACTCTGTGGTAAAGGCTCGGCTCTCCCAGAAGAACTCCAAAACAGTCTCCGATCTATCTCTGTAGCCCTGACCAATCTCCTGCTTTCTTTCCTGTTCCTCTCCCCTTATCTCCCCCAAGCCCAACCTCGATGTCTGGGCTCACTGGTAAGCTAATTAACATTAAATAGTAACATTTTATTCTTCCCAGTTTTATTAACACATTTTGAGAGGATCACAGAGAACAGAAGTCATCTCAACCAAAGGAATGAATATTTAATGGTGAAAGTTAAGCTACGCGGTGACTGGGAGATGTTTTAAGGCAGAGGAAAGCTGCCCAGAATCCACTCCTCCCTTCATCATGGCACCTCCACTTCTTCTTGGGAAATTTCCTCTTCCCCATCATGCAATCCAAGGGCTTATTTCCCATGAGGGATGCCAGACGTGACGTATCTTTGCACCCAAGATGGCGGGACGTAGGTACACGGTCCCAGTGCACACAGATGGATGGCGCTTGGTGGTCCTTCATCATGGAGGAGGCAGCGTGCTGACCCTATGATCTTGCCATCCAGCCCTGCAGATGTTCTTGGGCAACTGTCCTAGGAACACTGATGCTGTGAGCTGTTCCCCCCACCAAGCCTTGAAGTCAACCAGACTTTGCTGTTTGCAAACACATGGATCCCAAGTGGCCCCACAGAGTCAGGTCAGTGATGATGGGGAAGAGGGCTCAGCGCCCCTCCATGCAGGGGCTGGGACGCTGTACATCACAGTGACCACCACCGTGGACGTGGAGCATGTGTGGCCAGAAACAAGAGCCACTTGCAGGGCCCTGGATTGGGAGAATGGAAAACAGCAGCCCATCTCCCAAAGGTGACAGGATGGGATCGTGTGCATCCCTGAAGGCCATGCTGACAGCGGGAACATCCCTCACTGGCAACCTTGCCTCCTCGCTCCTGCCATGTGCACTGGAACACATGTGAACACCTGCAAGCCCCCACACACGTGTACACACTCAGCTAGCAGGCATCCTTCTGGTCTCTCCGGAAGAATATGGCAGGCCCATGTCTGGTAGAGGTTGGGTGGTAAGTGGAAAAAACAAGGAGCAGGGCTGAGCCACAGCGTCTTCCTTCCCTGGCGGGACCCAAGAAGCCAGGTCCCTGCCTCATAATCTCACACCCTTAAATAAACCAGGAGTCCCAGCGGGCAGACAAGCAGGGCCAACTACAGGGTCGCCCAGGCAGCCTTCAAACAAAAACATACCCTAAGTGTGACAAGTTGTCCCCTCACCTCCATCCTCACGGCCACTCCTTCCCTTCCAGGTTGGGACCAACTGCCGAAGGGCGCTGGCACTCACTGGGAAGGGGAGGTGGGACAGACAGGGGAGTGGCCAGACAGACTCAGCACAGTGGGACCCCAGACCCACCAAGTATACAAGCATCTCCTAACAGAGCTTCATCACCCACACCGAGCACACATGACAGAGCCCCACCCAGGAGCCCCAGGTAGCAGCCAAGGTGCGGCTGGGCCAGGAACCAAGCAGGGAGAAGGCACACGGGAGTGAGGACATTTATTGGAGCCTGGCCAGCGTGAATGCGATCAGGAGCCCCTCCCACGGCCCGGCGGCCCGATGGGCCGGGACACAGGGAGGCCATCTCCTCCGATCCCTTTATAGACAATGTTATAAAAAAAATAAACTTTACAATAATACATTTCGCTCATCTGTTGGGGTATTATTTCAATAGTTTTGTTTCTTAAAAAAAAGGAAAGAAAGGGGAGACCACACGATATATGTATATGGATGTGTATATACATATATGTTGAGAAGGGCAACATGTTGTGTACATACAGTTGGCGTATGTCTCAGAAATGAGGAAAGATAAGGTGGAAGTGGGGAGAGAGCTGCAGAGACCAGAGCGTGGGGCGGTGGACATCCACTGTGGTCTTCGCTGCCCTTCTCAGCAGCCCCCTCTCCAAAGAGAGCCACCAAAGAATCGTTTCTTTTTTATTTCAAAATTCCTGCCACCAAGAGGAAGCAGCAGCCCCGAGCTGCGGCCAAGTGTTGCTCCCTCCTCCTGAGGGGGTGTCCCAGGTGGGCTGAGCCCCCAGCCCTGGAGCTGCCCAGCCTGTGCCACAGTGGGGGACCTCCGTGCACACCCCTCCACAGGCCAGAAGCAGACCTGCCCAGCCCAGAGGGAGGGCAAAATAAACCCCACTGTCAAAGCACGTGGAGGTGCGACTGGTGCCCAGTTGAACCCAGGGGCCAGCCCCACTGCTCTGCCACCTGACGCCACTTGCCAGCCCAGCAAGTCCCCAGAGTGGGCAACTTGAGAAGAGCAGCGGCCACTGTCCTGCCTCAGACCACACCAGGCCCGGCCACAGTCCCATAGCCGCAGGGGTCTCGTCAGGGTCCAGAGAGGAAAACACCAGGAGAAGGTGTGGGGCATGTCTAGACCCTCGCGCCCTCCTCGGTGCTGGGGTGCCCTTGCCAGGGGCCCCCCAGGAGGCTCTCAGGCTGCCCGCCTACTGTCTGTTTGGCTTAGAAAAACTTCTCTAGAGAAGAAACCTGGGAACAGACAGGTTCAGAGACAAGGTGAGGGAAATTTTTTGCAAGGTGTGTGTGTGTGTGTGTGTGTGTGTGTGTGTGTGTGTCCATTCAGCAGGCGGGTGCTCTCATCCACGTAGCTTTCGGAAACCTCCAGACGCCGTGCCCAGAGCCTACAAGGCCAGCTTCAACATCAGGAAGGAGACAGCCGTCAAGGCGGCCGACGGGCTGGCTCGGCAGGGGCCTGAGTTGGGTCTGATCACCTTGTTACTCCCTGGGATGATGTTGGTGGTGAGCTGAGGCCACGGCAGAAGGGGACAGAAGCAAAGAGAACAGGAAAGACAAACAAACCACAGGAGTCAGCAGGGCTGGGAGCAGGCAAAGAAAAGGACTGACTTCCCATGCCGCTCCTTCCCACCTATCCAGGGGGCTCCCCTTTGCCCACCCTCTTGGAGGCAGAGCCCGGCTTCCAGGGAGCTGGGCTGAGCCCCGAGCTGGGGAAGGCAGTGCCATGGTGCCCAGGACAGCCTGGCTGACACTGCCCGGGGAGGAAGAAGGCCTGACGCAGGCCAAGGAGAAGGGGCGAGATAACGATCTCAAGGGGAAAAGGCTCCTGGGTGCCAGGACCTTCTTGAGGAGAGAAGAGAGCTGCTCTATTCTTCCTATTCCTAAATGGGGCCGAGTCCCTCCCCTCCATAGAGCAGCCCCTGCATATCTCTGACTGCGCTCTCCTCCTGCTGTGGAAGCTTATGTGGCCTCTTCTCAGGTAAGTTATAGACAGACTATCATACAGTCAGATACCACCATGCACCAGGGTTCCTGTGAGGAAGGGGCTGTGTCCTCTCTGTCTCAAGTTCACAGAACCAGCACGCGCAGGTGCTCTGCACACCTGCCTTAAAGGTCAGGAAGGCTTGGCAGGGCCCTGCTCAGAGCAGGCACAGTGTCTCTCCCAAGACAGCCAAGGCTCTGGCTGCAGCCTCTGCACCCAACCCCCACCCCGACCCCCCATCTGTGTGCCCAGCAGGCCCAGGCGGGCCAGGAGCTCAGCTGGCGCAGCCCGCAACAGGATCCGCGGGCCCTGAGTCTGAGGCTCACCTGGAAACAGCCTCCCGTGACCAGGCCCCTGCACCACCGCCCTCTGCCCCACTCACCTCTGTGAAGCACGTGCTCAGCTCTTTGGAGCTATTGGCCTTCAGCCCCTGCTCCTGTGGGAGAGAAGCACCAGTGAGGACGGGTCACCACAGCTGAGCTTGTCCTGTTACTCAGGTGAGGCCCACCTTCCGGGCCCTGCCATCTGCTGTGGGCGTCAGGAAGCACAGGGCACAGGGGAAAGCTCTGGCTCCATCCCACGCAGCACAAGACCCTGCCCCTTTCCGACATCTCAGCGACTAGGTCCCAGCTCCAGTCGGCTCCTGAAGAGAGAGTTCTAACTCCGGTCTCCAACGTCCAGCATAACAGAGTCAGGAGCTACTCACAGGTCTCTCCACCACACTCAGCTCCTCACAGCAGGCAGGGACCACGCCCTCCTCCCCTCACATTGCACAGTGTCTGGCCTATGACAGCAACTCAGTAAACGTCTCACCAGGTGCATGAATGGACAGATGAGTGCACGCACGCATGCCACTGAGCAGAATCGGCATCTGAGAGTCAGCTCATTGAAGACCATGAGTCCTCATTTGGGTTCAGGAGGAAGAGAGAGAGACTGTGATTGATTAGTTATGTCTGCCCTGGTGCACATTAGGAGGACATCTGGCAACAGTGCCAAGGGTTAGCCTTTCCACCTAAACCAATGTATGGTCCCTGGGAGCTCTGTGGTCAAGGTAAGGAATGGAAAGAAAGCTGGCTTGGTGATGGTTCCAGGTTCTGTGCCCCTGGCATGACCGCCTGGATGCAGGACCAGAGGGTGTGCTGACAAACAGTCCTGTTATCATCATCATAACAGTGACCCCGGGAACCAGCTGGCGGATATGGTGTTTCCATCCTGACTTCAAATGGCTTGGTTCTCAAGGCACCTGTGGGGACTCTCTGGCCAGCAGAAGCAACTGGGAAGCCCAAGAAATTATGCCTAAATCACTGCTCTTGGCCACAAGTATCAAAATCCCTTGGACATCACAGGCAATCTACCACCCAGGGCATCTGGTCAGCTAAACAAAGCCCAGCTACCACACAGAGGTCCAGCCAAGAGCAGTCACTGCCAATGGTGGAGATGTGACCAGGGTGGTGATGAGTGCAGTGGGCGGGAAACCAGACCCAGGAGGATCCTGCTCAGGACCACAGCACCAGTGACCCAGGAGCCCAGATCCAGCCCAGCCAAGCCACCAACCTGCATCACTGGGAAAGGGCGAGGGCTCTGGGGCCCTTCTGCCCCAAGGACTGGATTCTACTGCCTGGACCCAGTGCAGCTCCGGCCAGGGCTGTGGGAGGCCGCTGCCAGGGTGGCCCACATGCCCCACCTCAGAGACCGCTGCCACCACTGCCTCCGTCTGACTGCTCAACCTTCACCTGCACGTGGCTGCTTCCCTGAGCAACTCCGAGCCCCTGCTAGTTCCCCCCGTGACATCCTGGGGCCTGCTGGGCTCTGTGCCACCCGGCCCAGCGCTGTGTCTCCCGCATCCTTTCCTGCCCTCACTGTCCAGGTGTGGCAGGTCTGCTCCCCTCGTGGGCCCTCACCACAGGGCTCACTGCATACAGAGCCTGTGTGGTCAAACGGCCAGGTCAAGGTCCTCACCTCCAGCTCAACGCACAGCTCAGTTCTGTTTGATATACTGGAGTTGTGCACAAAGTTGTTTTTAAAATAGTCATTTGCTTAAAAATAAGTAAGGCCTGAGAAAATAACTCAATTCAATGACCTCTAGCCTGGCCATACAACTTCCTCTGATGAGATGCCCGCTCTCAGGGAGCTCAGGGTCCTCGACACTGCTGGCCCTGAAGGCTGCACCCAAGGGAGCCCCAGAGAACCTCCCAGGAGACAGTGACTGAGGAGATAAAGCCTGGTGTGGGCACCATGGAGTCACCCAGGGTAGGCACCATGTAACCACCTGGCCTGTGGCTGGACTCCTCAGTTCCCAGTGAGAAGGGCTTGACAGGTCCTCTTAAGAGGGGAGGGCAGGCATGTTGTCAACTATGAGGGAGGGGGAAGGAAGGGAGAGGAGAGGAGGGAGAGGTAGAAGAGGGCAAATCAGAGAAAGGGAGAAGCAGAGAGAACAGGGGAAAGCAGTACCCAGAGACAAGGAGCACAGGGCAGAGAAGAGGGGGAGAGAGGGAGTAGGGGGAGGAGAGGAAGGGGGAGGGGACAAAGGTGATAGGAAGAGGCAGAGGAGGGCATGGAGGGGGAAGGAGAGGGAAGCGGCAGGGAACAGCAGGAAGGGGAGGGTCACAGAGGAGGAGGAGGGAACACAGGAGGAGAAGCAGCAGAGGGGGACCCCTTCACCCTCTCCTCTGACCCCCGTTACCATGAGGAAGCACAGACACCGCCAGGCCAGCCCCAGGGGATACAGTGCAGCTGTGGCCTCTGGCCCGGCCACAGGGATATGGGGAAGAAAGGGCTGACCGTGAAGAGTGGGGACAGGACAGTCTCGTGCCCCTTTAGAGCCGCACCTGAATGCGCCTTTCCCAGCACTCACAGGAAGTCCTCCTGCACGGGATGCGCAGCGATGCAGACTCAGGCAGCGGCCATGCCGAGCTGAGTGCAGGTGACAGGCAGGCCCCCTGGCTGCCCCACAGCTCTCCCCTCAGGTGCCATGAGCTAGTGCACGGATGCTTGCCCTGTTCGTTTAGATTGAAGGGTCCTAACCCTTGGGGCCCACCCCCACAGGATCAACCCTAACCCAAGGAGGGAAGGAAGGGCCTGAGAGGCCTGAGCCCTGGGCTCCAGTCTACTTCAGCCAATGACCGGAGACAAGTCCCTTCAACTATTGGAGCCTCGCTGTCCTCATCTATAAAATAGAGACAGACGTGCCTCACTGACGCATGTGACTTCCAGAACACAGAGCAGACGGTGATGGCTGCGGTAACCTCTCCTCAGGCGAACCCAAGGCCCCTCACCCAGCCCGGCACCCAGCGCAGCACCCAGAGCAGCCCTTCTCTGCAGATGCACATAGGAGAGGCATGGGTGCAGAGAGAAAGCAGTTCCATCAACTCTCCGAAATCCACTGGGGAACAAATTCCTGGCCACCCTCCTGACCATTAACCCTTCCTGGTGCTCCTTCCCACGTGGGCACCAAAGACAAATGTCGCAGTCCTACTCACACCCCAGTGAGAGAAATAAGCATCCATGAGCCACCTCCACACCAGCTCAATAAGTAGGACGGGAAAGAGGCTGCCTTGTCCCCTGACCCCCGGGCTACACTGTCCTCGGCGGCCACACACCCCAGGCTGCCCTGGACGCCCATCTTGCTGCTTAGACTCCAGTGGAGGAGTCTAGGCAACAGGTGGGCTTTTCCAGCCCCTGCCCCAGCCTACTCTGCACCTCTCATCGCTTGGAGGCCAGCTCAGGGTCTATGACTGCAGCACCCACAGGGCACAGGCGGCTGCTGGGACAGGGGGAGGCAGGGCTCCGACATGGACAGGGACACAGCAAATGGGAAGAGCTTTCCACACTGTGGGTACCACCAGAAGCATGAACGCTGGCTTTGTGGGTGGCACTGGGCGACCTGAGCTGGGGAAGGGACGCAGACGCGGAGAGAAGATGGCAGAAACGCAGTTTCCTTCTAGAAAATTCTCCCAGAGAAAGTTGGAAGGAAATTATCATCTTCCTCCTCTTCCTTCCCCACCTCTGTCTGCACTCCCAAGCTGGGTCCAGCAGTCCCATCAGAGCCTTGCTGGTCTGGCCCAGGCGCCAGGACCAAGTCCAGCGTCAGTTGGTCTATCCATGGAGCCGGCTAGCTCTCTCCTGTGTCTCTGCTTCTATTTCTGGCACCACACCCAAATCTCAGTGCCCTTGGTCACCTCCCTGCTGCATACCCAACCCCAGTAACTCACAGCTCCTCCCCACAGCTCAAACTCCCCCCACCCCACTCTTACCTGACTATCGCCAAGATCTCCAGCAGGTCCCTCAGTCTCGCCCTTGCCAACCAATCTCCCCAGCTGTCAACTATCCTCCCAAATCACAGTTCTCATCTTCTCATCACGATACCCCCTGTTCAAAAGCCTTTAGAGCCTCTCCACACTCACCAGTCAACCTGCTCATTGGTCTTCATCCCTGCCCACCCCCACTCCGCGTTCTCGCCCACGCCCACCGCCTGCTGTCCCTCCCTTTCCAGAGCAGGCAAACGCTTCTCTGCAGAAGGCCAGACAGCAGCGATTTCAGGCTCTGCCAGCCACGCACTCCACTCTGCTCTGCCTGTGCACAAGGGCGATGTGTAAACGAGGTGCGGTGTTGATCCAATAAAACAATTGATCCACGAAGGCAGCACCCCCTACTCAACCTCTCCGTGCTGTCCTGCCTCCCTGACTTGCTCCGCTGGCCCCTCTACTGGGCGCCTCACCTACTCCGGTCCACTCCCGCGTCTCCAGTGGTCAATCTCCCTCTCTTCCGGGCCTAGTGGTGCTTTGACCACGAGGCACTACTAGGCTGGATCCCACCACACGGGATCAGTCCTCTTGGTGCACCAGTCACTTCCTCCCCCTGATCTTCTGAGCATGTCCATCCCACACCTATGGGGACATAGGTGCTGGCCCAGTAAGCTTGTCAGCCTCGATGCCTCGGATATAGTGACATGCAGAAGGATTTGTGTTGAATAAATGCATGAATGCAGAGGTGGATGAATAAATGAATGACTGTGAGGGAGAGTTGGGGGAGGGAAGAAAAGAAGGAATGCATGCAAGTTTCCCAAAGCTTTGAAACAAGCCGTATTTATAAATCAGGAGTTGTGCCTGATAGACATACAGACATGTGGCAGGCCTCTCGTCCCACTCTGACGGCCGAGGGTGTGTGTACAGAGTGAGAGACCCACCAGGGAACAGGCAGGAGGAGGAGGGGCCCGAGGCAGGTGGCTGCTGGCTGCTGAGCCCAGGTGAGTGGTGAGGGGAGTGTGGCAACCCCTCTGAACTCATTTCTAATTCCCCCAGATGTGACGGCTATATCAAGGGTAAGAGCAGAAACTGGCCAGTGGAGACACAGAAAGCAAAGGGGACTGTGTTGCCAGGCCCCTTAGCACAAGGAAGGGTGAGCCTCCAGTTGATCTGATGGGCCCTGCAAACTGGCCCAGAGCAACTGGGAGTGCCCAGGACCCTGGAAAGAAACCAGGGCCAGGGAAGGCGCCAACCCACTGCCAGCCTTCCCCATCCAGACCGAAGCGCCCTGGTCCAGGCCCATCATATGACCAAGGGCCTTCTAACCGTCTTCCTGCATGCTCAATAGAAAGATGTCACCTCGCACATTCACAACACAGAGAGGGCTTCAGTGAGAGCGGGAAATAGAGTAAATAGCTGCCTGTGACCAGTCAAACAGACTGTTTTCTACACTGGGAAGCAGGCAGTTCCAACAGAGCAATGAACTGGGGACTCAGGTTCTTTCCCTCCCTCTACAGAGCGCTAGTCCATGCCAAGCACTGTGTGCTCAGTTAACCAGGCTACACCAGGGGCGAGATGTGGCCAGGGATGCTGGCCTGGGAGCAGCGAGCAGAGGCATCGTGAAGGGGCCAATATGAGGCAAAGCAGGAGTCCTACGTAAGTGGAAGGCAGCTTTGCCTGAGTGGCATCAGGGGACCACCCGAGAGGCGACATCCAGGCAGAGAGGGTGGGAGAGAGGGAAGGAGAAGCACTTTGCTCAGAGGGATGACTAGGCACAGCCAGCGCCTTGCTTGCCCGGCCTTCAGGCCTAACCCATGGGACAACCTCCCTGGGCTTCAGAAACCAAGGGCCTTGGATGAGGGTACAAGATGGTCTGTCTCCTACAGGTTCCCTGCTCTGGGGACATTCACACGTGTGTGTGTGTGTGTGTGTGTGTGTGTGTGTGTAGCAGGACCAGAAGGGAGAGGGGAGAGGCCATTCTGCTGATTAAATTCCACCATGCTTTCCCCAAGTTCCTGTTTGGGCAGGGCCACTGGTAAGAGTACAGCCAGGAGTAGAAATGAGGAGGCCGGGACTGGAAACGGAACCAGGATGCCCAGACACAGGCCAGCTCAGGGCCTCTGGGCTCCACTCTAGACATACACATCTGCTCAGCAGCCCCATCATGAGGACCTGAGCTCCCCTAGTCCCACAGCAAACCCCCACTGTGGGAGAGTCCCGGGAAGGCAGATATGGGGGAGCAGGCAGCACAGCACAGCCAGAAGGAAACCGCCCTGGAGACTGGGAAGTGGGGCTGGGGACAAGTTACTGTCCTCACTGGGCTTCTGCCCGTAAGAAGGAGATCTCAGAGTGCCATCTGGACCTAACATCCACTCATTCAAATGGGGTCCCCAACTGGCTGCTATGTCTGGTCACTGAAGGGTCCCTATGGCTTCTCCCAGGGCCCGGATCTGTGGATGGGGAGGAGGATGGGGGCGTCTGGGGTGCAGGGTCTCCCCGCTCCCTCCCACCCCGATCACAGCTTCCTGTCTCTGTCCTCACCCAGGGACTCCCTTCTGTAGCCATGGGTGGTTGTCTTTCCCAAGGACCCCACATCGGCCACCATGGAGCCCTTCCAAGCCAGGAGCTAAGGGAGGGGGTACGAGCTAGGGAAGGGACAAAGCACCCACAACCTCCGCGAGGTGCGAGCATGTATTCACCTGCACTCCCACCCAGTAGGTGCTCATTTAAAAGACTGATATTAAAAGAGAACCAGGAGTCCCTCCCCTCAGCGTCAGTGAGAAGAAACCAGGGTGATGACGGGTGGGCAGCCTCTGAGGCCCTGCTTCTCTCCCTTTCTTCCCAGGGGCTGTCTTCAGCAGTCCTGCCCAAAGGGCCAAAATCAGCAGACCCCCGGAGTGCAGGGTCACGGGGCCAGGCCTTGGAGCCCCTGCCAGGCAGCCTCTGGAGCCCAGCATCCGGGACTCATCACACCCACTATAGTGTTCCTCAGTTTACAGGCCCCGTCACGTACATCACCTCTCATCTGGGTCAAACCAAAGGAAAGACAAGCCCCTCGATGGGGAGGCTGCAGAAAATCGGGCTCGGGTGAGAAGAAACCAGGCCACGATTCAGCAAACCCTACGGCAGTGGTTCTCAACCTGTGGGTCGCGACCCCTTTGGCGGTCGAACAACTCTTTCACAGGGGTTGCCTACGACCATCCTGCATATCAGATATTTACATTATGATTCATAACAGTAGCAACATTACAGTTATGAAGTAGCAACGAAAATAATTTTATGGTTGGGTCACAACATGAGGAACTGTATTTAAAGGGCCAGAAGGTTGAGAACCACTGCTCTACAGTGAAATGGGAAAAAGGTTGAAGTGAGGCAGGCGTCACAGCTTTGAACTTCCCACACCCATGGTCAGCCATGGCAAGCACCGCTTGCTGAGACAGCATGTCCGTGGGCGAGCCCACCCTGATGGGCGAGTTGTGGAAGCGTGGCACATGGAGGCGGGTGGTGCCTGGAGGGACATGTGGGCCACCTCTGAGCATGGCCACCTGACAGGTGGCACAGCCTTGACGGTGAGCTGCCCGCCACTGTAGCATGAAATTGAGCTGGCGACTGCCTATGCAGCAGGCCCAGAGCCCCTGCCGGCCACCGCTCAAGTCCGCTCAGTAATTAGGAACCGTCCAAGGGTGGCACGGCAGCTCGGCCCAAATCAGGAGAGGGGCCTAATGGAGGGGAGCAGGCCCACGCTGAGCCTGGCGTGAAGGCACGTGGAGGTCAGCTGTCACCACACAGGGCAGCCCACTGGACAGGGAAGGATGTGGGCTTCCCACCCAGGATGGCCCTAGCCCCAGCCCCTGGGGTGCAGTGGGAACTGGGGAACTTAATGCTCCACTAGGCCCAGTCCCTGCTCACAGCCTCCTCCTGGCACCATTTTTTGTCCCCAGCTTGATTGAAATTATACATGACCAAAAATTGCATACAGGGTGGGACAAAAGTAGGTTCACAGTTGTTTGTATGGAAAATAATACAATAATTAATAGATAATATAAGACTACACTGTTTTATGTACTCACAACTGTAAACCTACTTTTGCCCCACCCTGTAAATTTAAGTTGTACACCTGATGACATGATATAGGCTGTGAAATATTCACCACAAGCCAATCAACATGTCCATCACTTCACACCTTTACCATTTTCCTGGTTTTTCTTGTGTGAGAACAACTAAGGTCTAAGGTCTATTCTCTTAGCAAATTTCAAGCACACTATCTAATGCCGTCAGCGACAGTCCCACTGCTGTGCACCAGCTCTCCAGAACTCACCCATCTTCATGAATGAAACTCTGTAGTGAATGCCCACCCACTGCTCGTCCCACCAGCCCAGCCCATTCAGACTGGTGTCTCCCCTGCACACAACTATGTCTGTTCCCCTTGCCTCCCACACCTGTGCTCAGGCTGTGCTCCCAACACCCCCCACCATGGCTACACTTCACACCCCACCCACCTTCTTGGATATTCCAATCCCAAGCCCTCCCTGAAACATCTCCTATGACACCCCCCCACCACCTCACTGCTCCCTTCTTCCTCTGCTCCCCTGGAATTCTGCATTCGGTCCTACTTTGGACTCTTTGTTCCAGGTATGTGTGTCTGTGTGTGAGTGTGAGAGAAAGCAAGAGAGAGAGTGAAAGTGTGTGTGTGAGTAGGCATGAGTGTATGGGAAAGTGTGTCAGTAAGTGTACATGGTTTTGTGTGTGTGTGTGTGTGTGTGTGTGTGTGTGTGTGTGTGAGAGAGAGAGAGAGAGAGAGAGAGAGAGAGAGCGTGTGTG